AACATTTAAATAAATGTGTCATAATCATTAAAAAAATATATTATTAAATGCTTCTGTCATAAATTTAAAAATATTAAAATAAAAAATATACAAAAAATTTTCCCTTAAATCATCGCTATATTTTTTATCACAAGCTGTTGGATGATCCACCTAATGGCTATTAATATGTTTGAAAAAGAAAACGTTGAAAATTTTCTGAATTTATAAACTGTTTTTGAGCCTCCAAATTCTACCGTATACGTCAACTTTAAAATTACTTCCACGAAAAATAATTGAAGAACTAATAATAGTCCAGCTGGGCTGACAGAGTCATGCCCATGTGGACTTTCGGCAGGGGTGTCAATTTTTGATCCGACCCGAAACAAGACCCGAACCCGACCCGAAAAAATCCTGGTTAAAGTCAACCCGGACCCGAAACGGGTTGGGTTCGGGTTCAACAAATCAACCCGTTTTAACAATCGGGTCGGGTTCGAGTTGACCCCCGAGTTGACCCAGCAACTCGAAATTGACCCGAAAATGATTCGAAATTGACACAAAAACTCCTATTTGACCTGGAAACCCGAGATTGACCCGTTTTTAACACTATTTTGACCCAAAAATCGAAGATTGACTTGATTTTTGACCCGAAAACTAGAAATTTTAGGTCAACGTCGGGTCATTCGTGTCGGGTCGGGTCCGGGTCCTAAAATCTGACCAGTTTTTAAAACGGGTTGGGTTCGGGTTGACCTGAATAGCGCCAGGTCAGTTCCGGGTTCGACCCGAACCCGACCCGTTGACCTGAATTGACACCCCTACTTTCGGGTACTAATCGGCGGACTTGGATGATGGCACCATTCTCTAGCCCATAAAAGAAGGCCCATAGACTATCCAACACTCATAGGAGAGGGCTATTGGACTCAGCCGGCCCAGAATACCCTTTCGCATTAGAAAGTGATATTATGATTTGATGTCATCCAAAATTTATTTGTTGAGCTATAAATTAAGTCATAAATTTATAGATTTATATCCAAATAAACAAATGCTCTATAATGGAATTTCTCCAATTGGCCAAATTATTAAAATGAGCGTATTTTCTTAACTTAAAATGAAGTTCTTAAAAAAAAAATTTATTTAGTGAGTAAAAATTGTTTTTCTTAATTTAACTAGTTTACTCAGAGTTATTTTTATGAAGAAGCGTTTAATTTCTCGAACTTGGTTAGAGGAGCGCAAAGTGCGAGAAATTCATATTGGAGCCAAAATGTCAATGTTGATTGGCGCATTTAGAATGCGCCGAACAATACCACATTTTTTGCATGTTATAAAATTTCGTCCGATTCTGTTGTTTAGGGTGAAAAATAAATTAACGTAATTTAATAAGATATTCATACAAATTATGAAAAAAAAAAATTAGAACTATAATATTTAATTAAATTTGAACAAAAATATAAAAATACATTACCTCAAACTATAGTTAAAATTTTCCTTTGAGCATTTAGCAAATCGTCCAGTATCTTTAAAGATATTGAATTTAGATTTGCATGTATTATAAGATGGGCACCAT